TTGCATGAGCTACAAGCTTAAAAAGCCTTTAGTTACCTTAATCACTTTTCATGAAAGAAGGTCCTGTATGACACAAAGTGTATTAGTAAACCAAACAAAGTTTGCTTTAAGCTTGTAAGTTGACTCAGTGAGATGAGATTAAATTTGAAGCTGGAAATGCATAAAACATCTTTCAAAGTAAGAAAATGAGTAAACTTTACAGTCCCTATATAAGTTACTAAAGCTCTAACTTTATTAGGTAATTGGACAAAACAATTTGAAACAGATTTAGCAGAAACAAAATTATCTAGGAAATGAGAAATATGATTTGTTGCCTTTGTATCTACTATCCAAAAGTTGTGTTCAATCATAAAATTTAATGAAATTTTTGTATTTAAATGGAAGACTAGTGGTATTGAAGCAAGTATGTCCAAAAATCATACATGCAAAAGCATAATTCATCAAAAATGCTTTCTTTGATAAGTGTTAATAGAAGTATCCTTGCCATCAGTAATGTTGATACCATTTTCACTCAAAAGAGTTATAAATATTTTGATTTGCTACTTGATGAACGAAATCCAAGACATAAAGTTAGCCACAATCCATTCTTTTTCTTGTGTAGGCTGTATATCTTCCAAATAGAAACACTATTCACTTATTTGCCTTTCTTAAAAGCATTTTTCCTTTTGTTGAATTTAAGATCTTCAGGGAATCCTATAAGCCTATAGCACTTCTCCTTAATATATCATTTCTTATTATAGTGTGAACAAACAATATCCTTCTTGAACTTTTTTTTTCCTCTGTCATAGTAGTTATTACAGATGAATTTAATACTAGTTGAGACTGAATCCACAAGTTCTTTTGAGTTTTTTCTCTTACGACCAGATTGTAGACTTTATCAAAAGGTGGAATAAGATCCATCAATATAATTTCTGATCTTATACCAAAAAAGGAGTCATTCATTCTATTCAAGAATTGAAATATCATATCTTTCTGATATTGACTGTTGTATTTCTTAAAACACTCAAGATTACACTTTTCATACTTGCATTGTTGTAGTGGTCGATAGCTCCTCATTGCCCCCCATATAGCTTTTAGCTCAATCAAATATGAGTCCACTAACTTAGTGCCCTAAGTGGTATTCCCAAGTGAGTACTATAAATTATAGACCCTAGTGTCATCAGGCTGTGAAAAATTTTTTCCTTAAAATACTCCATATTTCAGTTGCAGATTCCATGTAAAACATTATTGAAGCAACCATAGTAGTAATTGATTCTACCAGCCATGCTACAATCACGTTATTACACCTGGTCCATGGTGCATATATAGGATCTGTAGTTGCTAGCTTGCTAATAGATCCATTAAAAAACCTTAGCTTGTTCCTAATCAAGATAGCTAAAAGAAAAGACCTGCTCCAAGGTAAATAATTGGTTGAACTAAACTTAGGATTGATCACGACTAATCCAAGGTGATTAGAGTAATGCAAATAATATGGAGATTAAGGATCTTCTATTGGAGATATGGTTGATTTGATAATAGTTTATTCTACCATTAAATCAACACATTCAATTAGAATCTCAAGTAAAAGTGCTAATATCAACAATAAGAAAAGCATAAATAACCAAGAAACTTCATTCAATCAAATAAATCGAGAACAGATGATAAAATCCAAGAACCCTAACCTAGGTACTCTAATACCATGTTCAAAACCTTGAAGAATTGACAGAAAAATAAAAAAGGTAAACGAAAAATGAAAAAATGTGTGTATTCGCATAAATTGAGGAATTATTACATCAATAATTATATACAAGCTCTCAAATGATAGAATCGCAGCTTTACCAATTAACTAATTACTAACTGCTTCTAGTAAAAGTAAAAGAGTAATTACTGTTACAGATGCAACTAGCTAATAGTAAAAGTAAGAGATCTAAAACTAATATAAATAAAACACGTGTACTACTGTTACTATTATTTATATACGTTCAACCTTATCTTTCCTTTATATCATAAGCTCTTAAACATTCAAGCTTCATCTTTTTATCCTTCCTCTATTGCTTAATATAAACTAATATTAAAAATTCTACCCCTGCTAATATGCAACTCCTATTCAGTACATTTGTACAAAAAATCTTCTCATCATCACCATAGGGATGAAACAAGCCTTTCTCCTAAGAAAAATCTATGAATGACCACTTAGGTGAATAAAAAACACAGCAATCCATCTCTAAACACACCCTGCCATAGCCATATCAAGAAAAAAAGTGACAACACATTTTCTCTCAAAATCCAAATCAGTCCTCAAAATCTAGATAAACATAAACCCAAAGTAAAATCTTGATAGCACATCAACAATTGAAAATGAAATTTCATTTTTTAATTTAAATTTTCATTTTTTACCAACATGGTTTTGAAAGGGAGATGAAGAGAGCAAAAAAGGAAAGGAAAAAGAGGGAGAAGGCATGGGGGAGGAGAGAAAGGGGAGAAAAGAGAGAACACGAAAGACGAAAAGGAGAACCATAGCTTTCTCTTTGCTCATCGCTTTCAATGGCAAGATCACTATAGTAGTCAGAGAGGATTAGATTAAATAGAAAGAATAAAACAGTTTTAGGCCAATTTTAACTTATAATATAATGATAAAACATGTGAAAGGTTAAACAATATAAATTTATGCAACACCATGAAGTTAACAAAAATTCAAATGATAGGTAACGATAGGACTTATATGCCTTGCGAAATATATTACTTTGGGTTGGAATATCCATTTTGAACATCAATGGATCAAAAATGAATTACAATCAAAAATTAAAATTTACAATATTTTACCTTAAAATATATATAGGCACAAGTTATATTAGAAAACATATTTATAATATATAAAAAGTGAGCTACATGAGTCAATTATAAGGGAAACGGTTTGTAAAGTTACAAATGTTCTTTTTTTTTTTTTTGGTATGAAAATATTAAACAACATTGTTTTTGTTGTTAGTGATTTTTTTTTTAAAAAAAACTCTGTTTGATAAGATTAAAAAGTTTTTTTGAAAAAGGTTTTCAATCTTTTTCTCTATTTGAAAGGGAGAAAACTTTTACGAATGTAAAATATTTTTTGTGGGTTAACAAAAAAAATTGTGTTGATTAGTTTAGAATGTATTATGCTTGAAAATGATGTAAAATAATTAGTTAAATTATACAATTAATTCCTGTACTCTAATAAAGTGGTGAATTTAGTTCACGTATAATAGTTTATAAAAATTGAGTTCATGTACTTTTTAAATTCGACAATGTTAGTCTAATTATTAATAGTATTAAATTTTTTGTTATTTATATTGACATGGTATTTTCTTGTTGATGTGGTATTGAATATAATGATCTGTTAATGCTGACGTGACATTTTTTTTATCTATTTCACAATGTTCTTTTTATTGCTTTAAATTATAGAGTATAAAAATTTATTTTTTCTCTATCTCACAATATTTTTTCTCTAAATCTAGAGGGAAAGGGCTAGTCATGCATCACAATGAAAAAACAAAAATAAAAACAAATTATATTCAAGGTCATTGTCAATATGTTGGGAGCTTATGCATCAGATACAAAAGGTGAATATTGAGATTAAATTGACAGAGGTGATTAAGTTAAACTTAATCAAAACTAGAAGTTATGAACTTCTATTGAACTTAATTAAAAGGTTTGATTAAGTGCAATGACCAATTAGCAATTACATAAAAAAGGTCATTACGACTAAAATTAGTCTAAGATATAAATACCTTATTTAAGCTACCCATCCGAGTAACTTAGTTACCACTCAACACTAGTGAGTAGTGTTGTTGGCCCTTGTGAATGTGAAAGAGAAAAATCTATTTTTCTCTTGTTCCATTTGACTAGGGTGAAAAGAAGGGACTAGAATTAAGAACACATCCTTACTGGCACATTAAAGGCTTGCAATTCCACTCTCTTGTAAGGATTTCTCCATTCACCTTATGGACTTTTGTTAAAGGCTACAAAATAATATCTTAGATATCTTTCATTTGCAACAACTAAGCTTGGTGTGAGGTTTTTTGGAGGGACTGTTTGGTGGAGTTTATATAAGGAATCAAACTTTCCTTTGTACCCAAGGTAATGACTAGATCACACGTGTATTTTATTGCATTACCTATCATCCAAAAACCATCAAAGTGACCTTGAGTGGAAAAGCCAGTTTTAATTGTTTGTCCACTGCATTTGTAATTGAGATTATAATAAGAATCATATTAAGAAATAGAATAATCCAAAAATAAAAAACATAAACATGGGAGACCTCAAGCCCATACGCTTGGAGCAGAAGACAGAAAAAACCAAACTTATATTTGGAAGGCTTCAAACTCAACCAGCTCACATGTCAATCAACTAAAACTTTACATTGCAAAAAACTATCACTCCACGTGACGTAAAGATAAAACAAATACTTCTTTTTATATATAATTATAGAGTTATAGATACATGGTTAAGTTTTTTGAGAAATATTATAATTGATTTTACTCATTTTTATATTTATTTTTTATTTTAATTTTAAATTAATAAAAATCAAATGATACTATTATTTTGTAATCAATCTCTCTCTATCATTCATTTAAATAACTCCATTAGTGATAACAAAAAATATTTTTTAAAAGATGTTTTAAATAATAAAAAATAATTTTAATAATTTATTTAAATAATAAAAATATTTAATTTTTTTATAAAATATTTTACATTAAAAAGATTTTTTCATGTTATTTTCCGATGATCAGAACAAATCCGCAGTCTATAATGTGAAAAGACAAGTTAGCAGAAGTAGCAGCCATATCAGCGTTGTCCTTCACCACAAATCAAAAGCTGTTCCGCCACAATGGCCATTTGTCCGTTTGTGATCTCGCGATACACTAAAATGTGAAAAGACAAATTAGCAGAAGTAGAAGCTACATCAGCGTTGGCTCTCACCACGAATCAAAAGCTGTTGAGCCACAATGGCCATGTGTCCGTCTGTGATTTGAGATACGAGGCTGCATACTCGTCTCAAAAGTCAATCAGGAAACCCGGTGCTGACATGGCGATCAGTTTGTGACCAACCTCTATATTTCCACCAATTTATCATCTCTGCCACCGCCCGAGCAAAAGGGCTGACCGTAACATATTACACGCCCGACAATGACACACATCAACAAAAAGTATTACTTTCTCAAAGCTCTCAACGTGCCGCGTGGCACTCGCCCAGCAAACCTAGGTCAAACCTGAACAAATAAACAGCCCTATCTAACTGGAAATTTGTGAAAAACTGACTTGCAGTAACCCACCGAAGCTTAGTGCTCTGCAGTGTTCACATTTTCCCCTCTGTTTTCTGTTGTTCTGTTGAAAAGATTTGTTTTTTCTTAATCAACCTTGATCATTGTTTGCTTCCACTAATGGATTCTGTGTTTCTTGACATCGGCTGATCCAAACAACATTGATTCTGAGGCGGGAATTCGGCGTTTTTTTTGAAGAGGTAAAGCTTAAGCTCAATGTACTCAGCAGTTCTTTATGCATATTATTGAGAGAGTTTTGATGGGTTTTTGCTAATTTTTATTTTTATTTTTAATGGTGAATGTTAGTTTTTGTTAGGATTGAGAAATCAATAAAGCCGAATTCCCGCCATGGAATTTTGGTAAGATAATAAGGTCAGAGGGTAGTATGGAGCCAGCTATGAGGTACTAGTTAGGAAGAGTACTTTGGTAAGGTAATGAGGTCAAAGGAGGGTTAGGAGGAGTAATTTGGTAAGATAATAAGGTCAGAGGAGGGTAGTATGGAACCTCTATGTGATTTTTGTGGAGGGGTAAGAGCAGTAATTTACTGTAAATCAGATGCAGCTCGGCTTTGCTTGAGCTGTGATGGATGTGTTCACTCAGCAAATTTGTTGTCACGTAGACATGCTCGTTCACTTCTGTGTGAGAAATGCAATTCTCAGCCTGCAGTAGTTCGATGCTTGGATGAGAAATTATCTCTTTGTCAAGCTTGTGATTGGAATAGCAATAGTTGCTCAAGTTTCAGGCATAGGCGAGAGGCCTTGAATTGTTATACGGGTTGTCCCTCTTTGGCTGAGTTTAGAAGAATCTGGTCTTCAGTTCTTGATGCTTCTTCTTCCAGTGCTTTTGATGCGGGTCTGCCAGTCGGTTCTTTGCCTGCTAATGACAATTGCATTATTAACTGTTTGAATCAAAGAGAACCAGGGGGAGCATTTGGATTGGACGGTACCAAGTTGAATGAACCAGATCCTTGTCCTAAGCTAGAGCCTTGGATGGGGCCATCTTCTCTGATTCCAACAAATGCAAATTACATGCCTTATTGTAGAAATCAAGAACCTCTTTTCTCAGAGGAGTCAAATATCTCAAAGGTAATGCTTTTTGCTTCTGAATTTATTCAGGTTGAATAGCTTGGTTCTACTGATGTGGTGGATCTTTTCTATTTAGTCATGGATAGATGCTGCAGTAATTTGAGAACTGCCACATTTGACCTGATTCCTTTTGAACGTTTGATTTTGGAGCTGTTATATCTCAGACACTACATGATTCATTTTTTTGCCTCCTTTGTTGCAGGGATGTTCTGACCTCAAAGATTTCAAACTCCTTGATGGTGATGATCTCTGTGAAGGTATCAACATGAATGATGTTCAGCTAAACTTTGAAACTGCTGATGAGATATTTGGCTGTTCGCAAGGTCAAAACAGATCCCAGTTTGATAATGTTGGAACAGAAGGCCTACTAATGGAGAAAAACATTACACTCACGGAATCTGATGTTCCTATTGAGAAATCATTAGAGGTTTTTCTCCAAATTCAATTGCTAAATATATCTTATAAAGGTATCTAGGGTTATATATTCTATTGCTTTCTTCCTGTTTTTCTAATCTAATCTGTTTATGATACAAGTACATATATAAAATGTTGCTGTAATGATTCCACGGTAGGATCTGGAACATGAAGCCTTGTGCCTTAATAGAACACCAATGATCTGTGTCCCCAGTCACCTCCACTTGCTGCAGTTGTTTGAAACAACAGACTAATTTTACTGCTTTAGTTTCAACTTTCTATATGCATATCATGCTTTTTGATTCTATCTTCTGATCCACAAGGTCAAACACTAACAAACATATGCTAAGGAAAGGGAATAAGCTATGGCTTACAAAAGTTCAGCACATGAAAGTTAATAGCTGTTGGGATCAAGACTTAACTCCATGATCCATTGTTAGATGCTTTAACCTCTCAGGCCTAATCATTGACTTTCATAAGAAACAAAACTGGATATGATAGTCGATGGTATTGTGTTGATATGACATTTTACTTTGTTGCGTGCTTATTGTTTATAACTTATCAGGCGTACTTACTGTTGCCGATATTGTGGAGTAATGACAAACCTGCAACGAATAACTTAATCATGCTTTTGTTTTTATCTACTTTTCATTATTGAAGTGGATTGTCCAGTTCATGGTTCGAAACTGCTATTGTGTATCTTATCAGGCATCATCATTAGGACAAAAGGGCTGCATGGCTTTTCCTTGCTCACAAGTTGGTGGATCAGAAAGTTTGATGGCTGCCATGACTGGCACTTCCAATTGCATGCTTATGAATCGTGGTTGTAACAGAAACATCAATCTAGGATATCCTGCTCGTCAAATTCCTTCAACCATAGCCCTGTCACTATCCAACATTGCAGGGGAAAATGGCGCTGCTGATTTTCAAGACTGTGGATTGTCACCAGTTTTTCTAACTGGTGAATCCCCATGGGAATCAAATATGGAAGCTAGTTGCCCACTAGCAAGGGACAAAGCAAAGATGAGATACAATGAAAAAAAGAAAACACGGATGTATGTTTCTCTTCCCTCTTACCTTAAATGTGATGTTTACATTCTATTTTTAAGTTAATACTATTATAAGGAATCCTGTTTCAGGTTAAAAATGTTTTGAGGGCATTCAGCAATGAAGTTTTCTCATTTAAGATGATATAAGTTTCTCCTGTCTTCCAGAAATCATGCAGCATTCTGTTTTAATAACTGAATACTTGACAGATCAGCTTCTTTTGAGATGCCATTCATGTATGGTCCTGTTATTTTCAGCATAGATGTCTTTTTAACATATGAAATGATCATATATGGGATCCCATCCACGAATTATCTATATATTGATCATTTGTATAAGCATCAATTGTAAGCATGGTTACTGTTTTACTTTTCTTCAAATAAAATAATGGCTAATTGCTGAAAGTCAGACAAACGCACTCCATTGAAGCCATTAGTGTGACTATAAAACATAGCATCTCTGTACTCTTTCAGTTCTCATTTAGTTACAGGAGGCTGTTTTGCAATTTTTTTTTTCTGATATTCAGTCAAGACTTTTAAAATGCTATTCATTCCCATGGTCAGGTTGATCATATGACAAATTCTGCTTAAATTGAAGTCCTAACTGGTTTTTCATTTTTTGTCGTTTTAGATTTGGTAAGCAAATAAGATATGCCTCCCGTAAAGCCAGGGCTGATACTAGGAAACGTGTGAAAGGTAGATTTGTGAAAGCAGGTGAAGCATATGATTATGATCCTCTTGTGGCACGGAACTTCTAAGCCATATTATGAAATCATGTCCCTGATCTTTAAGGTACAATATATTCAATAAAATATTAAAAGGTTCATCTGAAAATGTTTGTCAATAATGGTGCTTGTAATGGCATGATAAGCATTGAAGATTTTAAAAATGCAGATATAAAAGTAATTTCTTCTTATCATTTAGAATTAGATATGGCATGTATATGCAAACTCAGTGAGGTCAAAATATTAATTACTTTGGCCAGCTGTAGTAAATGGTACTTTGTGATTCAGCTTTATTTGAAGTCTTATGGTTCGTTAATATGTTTTAAGTTTGGGCAAATTGGCATTGACAGTGTAGCCTATTTTAGCAGCAAAGAACTAAAAGGCGTGTAATGGATCAAATTGCTGAGTTAAAGAGCTTATGTAGAATAGTGTATTGAATAAATTAAGAAATCAGTAATATTAGAGTGAAGAAAACAGAAATAAAGAGCTAAAAAGCATAGTCATCCCTTAATGCTCTCAAGAGTAGCTTGTAAAGGAAGGGTGAATAGGAAATTCAGATTGGATATCTTGTAGAGATCAAGTTTTTTGCTAGAGAAGGAGATCTTGTGAAATGTTTTTTCTTGTTGCGAAGTTTTCAATGTCAGCTTGCAATAATATGGAACACAGACAGATTAATACAGCATATTGCATGCACTTCAAAAGTTCAAGTGTTAACCCTTTAATTTCATGGCTCAATAGCTGACAAAATCATCATTTCTCTTGCTTAGTGCCAGATTGTAGATGTTGATAACAATCGCTGATGAAAATGCATTAACTTATGCCACATTTGTAATTTTCCTATCTTAGAATATTTTTAGCGTGCCATTTCCTTGCACACATGCTCAACTTAGACTTTCTTAATTGTACTAATTATTGCAGGTTTAGTTAGTCTTGCTTGATTCCAGAGAGGGGCAGTAAACAATATATTCCAACTTATAGTTACTGCTGCTAGAGGTTCTCTCTCTCTCTCTCTCTCTCTCTCTCTCTCCCTCCCTCTGTATGCAGGTCTTTTTGTTTGCATTTCTCATGAGGACTATTTGGCTTCTTTATTTAATCCTGTCTATATGTGCAATGGCAGATCTATTGTGCAGGTAGCAACCTCAAATTATTTGAGTTGTGGACACTTCAGCTAACTGATCTCATCTCTTACGATCTATGAACTGCCTCAATTATGCTTATGTTCTAGCTCCTTATGATTGGTAATGGAGCTCTTAAGAATAAATTATTCTTGTAAATGCACTGCTTACATGCCATCCTAATAAAATTTTCATGATTCCTTTGATGCTTCATTTACATAGAAGAAAAAAGTTATATACACTTGACTGAGTATGTTATTTGATTGTTTTTATGCAGGCAATTATAAAGGACACAAAAACCAAATGTCCAACCGTTGAAGAACCTTGACGTGACAAACTTTGGTGCATATTCTTTTGCCTTTCGCAAATACTAAGACCCTCTTCTTGCTTTCGTCACCATCTCCATCTCTGTTGCACAAATCCTTGTTGCAAGTCAATTTTGGTTATATTATGTGTGCTTAATTCTCTGGTGCACCAGCTCCATTCCATGTAATAAGCATTGATCCACAGTCATCAAATTGAAATAAGGAGTAGCACTGTCAGAAAAATAAATCATCATTTATCCCTTTGATTTGTTGCATATTTTGAGTATTTTATATTCTCATTATGCATTATATCTTCTAGCTGCAGATGAAATGAACTAGAAAAAATGAAATATGGAGATTGCTTCAGGGGCTGGGTCAACAGCAGAAGCAATTATTCCTCTCTTTAAATCACAAGAAGGAAGAAAAAAGGAGGATAAGGTACCATGTATGTGAAGGAAGCAAATAATGGTCCAATGAAGAAATAAATCACAGTGAAGTTGTGACAAAAAGAATCAAATTAAACCACATATTGGGCATAAATGTACCATTACGTTTTGGAACATCTCTATCTTTTGTACTTTGAATCAGGATGTTCTATATACAGCCTTTTTCGCTGGCTGGCTTTGGCTAACAGGTCTACTATGATTAGCAAAGCAGACATGTTTCGCCTGGAAAAGGAAGACAGTAAAGGTGCCCTCGTTAATAATTTCCCTTCTTTTGTTCTGGATGGCTTTTAACAAAGATATATAACATGAGCGTGTCTGAGATAAGTGATGACAAAGAGATTAAGGGGAACTACTAGTGTGGTTGGCTAACATGACCTGTTTGTGATGGCGAGGAAGGACCTGGTCTGGATATGAAGTGATGATCAGAATTACCATCTGCCGAAAAGGGAAACGTAAATTTTGTATCTTGAGCCTGTTTCTTAGAAAATTTTGTAATTATCATTTTTCATCAATAGCATCAATCATGGATATTGTCATAACGATGACCCCTTTAGCACCACAAAGACGATAGCACAAGCAAAGCATGGCTCATGATTTGAACTTGTCAGGAACTTGAGTGATCTACATTTGGACCACCAACCGGACATCATCCGATGAAATCATGAACCACATGGGGCATTAACCTTTATGCTGACGCGCCCACCCCTCACTTTGTGATGTAAAGCAATTTTTGTCGTTAATTGTTACTGGGAACCCATAGACTGTGAGTGCTTACTGCTTAGTTTGAAACGTTGCTTCTGCTCAAGTGCTCAGGATCATGATTTGGACCACACTTGTAAATTTGAATGGTGCTGTAATATATATATATATTTAGCCTAGGATTTGAGGGCAAAAACACATCACCTAGGGTTAGCTGTTGCAACAAGCATCTCCCAATATTTGAGGCAAATTAGATCAATTGTAGTACATCATCATGGAAATAAGCTAATCAACTTGCTGATAGCCTTGCCAAGGGAGCGGTGCAGAGTCAAGTTGATTTGTTGAATGTCTACGATTAATTTATTGTGTTTGGGGCTCTGACGTGCACTGATTCTTATCTGGGTCTGGTGCATCTTACGGTGCAGCATGAGAAGGTGGCCGTCGAGCAAGAGATAGAGAAAAAGAACTTAATCGATCAGGAGGAAGTTGCGTGTGGCCTCTGTTTCTTGTTTGTGTCCTTGTGCATCTATGATACTGCTGTGTCGGTTAAAAGGTTATCTCTGGGTTCGAGTTCCACGGTGGGCGGTGGTTTGTTTTAAAACACTTATTTATCTTATCACTCTGATAGAGTTTTACTAGTATTAGACTTTTATTTAAGAATTTATCCAGAACTCTACTTGTTTTTTAGATTATCCGTGTTGAGATGCTGTCAATTGCTCCTTGAGCAGCTGCTCCTTTTGTAATTGTTCAGAACAAGCTCTTCTTATGATAGTTTCTATGCCAACAGAAGTTTCCAAATCTCAACGTTGAAAACTCCCCATTCTATACACAAAAATTTTCAAATCTCAACGTTGAAGACTCCCCACGACATTTTAACTTATCATTAATAAAAACCATCTTTCAAAAAAAAATCATGAAAATAAGCAAGGCCTTAAAATAGATATGGACAGACGGTTTTTTGGCTTTTCTAAATGACTAATGGTCAGGTTATTTTAGACCTGACAGTATTGGTGGTAGGTGGGTGAGTACCTCTTGCCATAATCACCGGCAATCATACAAATTCTGGGCCAAACTTTCTATTTTTTCTCCTCTTTTAACAACAGATTTGAGGAAGAGAAGAGATCATTACAATAACCATGCTTGCGAGAAAATACTTGATTAGATCCTAAAGAATAAACTGCATATTGCTAGTATTCTCAAAAACTGGATTCCTAATTGTGAAAACTAGTGAATTGTTTTATAGATGATCAGTTCTGTTCAAAGAGCCTAAAGCTTGATAAAACACTTATGGAAGAACAACAGAATCTATCAAAGTTCTCCCGGTGCTTTGAATTCCAAGAGAAGAGAAAGCTAATTATGAGGTTGTGCAGAACAAAGAAGAAAAACGCGTTAATGGTAGACTCAATCTGGTTTACAGAATATTGAGGATTACATCAAAGATTATGATCCTAGCAGTTTTCCTATATCCAATTCTCCGTCTTTCTGCAATTCAAGTTGTTCCTGTCTCCGACTTTGGCCATGTAGCTTGCATGTGTATGAATCCATCGAGGAATCTCTTTCTTCCACTTCTTCCACCATGATATACCTCAGACTAACCAGACAAGATCCCCATAAACAAAAGTTGCATAACAGGGAAAAGAGAAACTAAAACTAATTAAAAAAAATGACAATCAAAGAAAAAGAAAAGGTGTTTTAAGCGTTGTTGAATGCTTTCTTTCGGTGTTAGAATCACACTGCCTTCTCTCTGACCAACTCACCATCGTTGGTAGCAACGCCTCATGCGAAGCTCCGATGAGATATCTCTGCGTTAGATTTTGACATGTACTGCATAGGAAGCACCTGATGTGCCTGAAAGCTAAGAAATTAGCTTCATGAACCCATTTGTCGCATTTCCGACAGAGGAAAGCATCATCAGCTTGGCAATATAACGAAGCCCTGGAGCTGCACAACTCACAATTCACCAGGCCCGAAACCCTGGTTGCATTAGGTGAGACACCCGCTTTCAGACAAAAGCTTGATGAGTTTCCTTGCTGTAGACCCTTGCACATTTTTCTGACGATCAAGAATGGGAATGGAATGGCTAAGAAGGCTGGGAGAGAATAGCCATATATAATAAGGCTGGTGGCATTTATACACATGCATGCAAGTATTTATGTAGATGGAATTTTGCACCATGACATGAATGAATGCCACTACATGACAAAATTGTCTCTGTTGTTTCTTCCTTAATCGTTTGCCCTTTTCCTCGAAAGTTCGGTCATATGCTAAAGCTAAGAAAATTTTAAACTTGTGGTTGAGAAAATGCTTTTAGCAATGCTATTCCCCCCTACCCGCCCTGCTTGCAGGAAAAAATCATCAAGGAATCTTAGGATGGGGCTCAATTAATTGTGCCAAAAGGGGGTAATCAACAGTACTTGAGGACTGGAGAGGATTGTGAGTGCAATAATTTTGAAAAAAAGGGGAAAGCTAAGCATGATTAAGCCCCAAGCTTTATGAGATGCTCTGAAGGGATGTCATGAGCCATGATTTTTGTTGTTGAGTGGTTACCAAGTCAATTTAGTTTACCAAAGAAACAAGTTTGTTGTATGGCCAAGAATTAAAGCTCTCCTGTGGGGTTGGTCCCACCAGCAAAGGCTCATCTCATCTGCAGTTCTTGGGCAATGCAGAGGACAAAACAGTTGAAGCGGATTGAACTTGAATATTTTCGCAAATTGGGTGTTGTGTGTTCCTGAGAGTGAAATGATGTGGAGAGGGCAGGAGTGGAAACAAAGGATTGTCCTTGTCCACATGTTTGGTTGAGCGTTGATACACTAGCCCACTTGTATGGTTCAAACTTGAAAGCTTCTACCTCTTATCTGCCGTCCATCTTTGAGTTTGTGGACTTGACACATTTTTGAAAATTCAAAAAAGCAAAAAGAAGCTGCAGCAATTAATGGACAAAATCCTTCCTTTGCAACTTACTCTGCTCGTTTATTCCCTCTATCCCAAACCATTCATTCCACAGTTGGACTTACTACTTGTACAACGACTCATTCATTTTTCAACGTGGAAAAAGACCATATTTTGGTTCAGCAAGTCAAGCGTGATTCCTTTTTATTCCAAACCAGTTCTCCTAAACGCATCATGAAGAAGAAGATAATCATCACATCTTTCAACTGCTGTAGCAATACGTGATAGCGAGCAGTCGAGGCTAATCCATTCCATTCCAACACGCCAGCCCAGGGTGAAAAAGAAGAAAGCTGGCGTGTGTCATGTACTGAGGTCGGGAAGTGGGAACTTATCCTTTGTGTTCCCTCCCACATACCTCCTGTCCTGATCATTGGTTAATGCTTTCCTTACCATTTAAATGTTGGGAAAAAGAATCATTGTTGATTTCTCGATCAAGTTATCATCTCCAACTTCTTTTCTTTTATTTCATTTCATCTCTGCGCCGACTCAAGGGTGGTAAAGCCACCCAAGCGCTTGGCTTTAGGTCTCAAATATTTAATAGGTTGCTTAATTTTATAATAATAACATAATTAATTATATATATTAAAAATATACAAAAATTAAAATAATTATTAAAATATTTACTTATCTTTCAAGCTTACTAAATATTTATTCTCTTTCTTTCACATCTTTATTAATTATCAACTATTTAACTCATTTATCATAAAAAATTAAAATAATTAATAAAATAATATATGTTATCACTTTCTTAATTATATTTTTAATAAATTTAATTTTTTAATAATTTTCTTACAATACTATAAATTTTCAACTATTTCTCTTATTCCAATCAAGTAATGATAATATATATTTAATAATTTTTAATAATTTTTTTTCTTAATTATTTCTTCTATTTTCATCGATTAATAGTAATATGTATTTAATGATTTTCAACAATAATTTTTTTTTCTATATATAAAATCAATTATCTTTTTTTATTTAATTTTTAATATTTACTTTGAATTCTTCTTTTTCTATTTGTTCTATCTTCTTTTACCTTCAATTTTCCTCTAAAAAAAAACTACAAGAAGTTTGTTATGTTATTATTTTCATAAAATTGCAAACCTCATTTATTATTTGTAATATGCATTCAACAATTAAGTATTACTGTTTTAATCTTTATATATTTTTTTACTTTAATT